CCGATGGCTCCCTGTTTTCTAATTTTCTCTCCAGAAATTCTCTTCAGTAACTGTTACTAAACAAATACTTGTGTTATGTCTTCTCCTGCAGGGTTTTTCCCAATGACAGTGCCAGTATCTGGGTGGCTTTATGCCTTCAAGAGGCAAACGAATGTCATGCAGTAATGCCAACGCTTTCATCTTGATTATTCAGCTCAGAAATACAGAGCATACATCCATGTCCGCCCCCATCCATGCAGATACTTAGAAATTAAGGGCCAGAAGGGACCTTGGAACCACTCTGACCCCAAAACACCATCCTCCTTGAGCCACATGAGTTTGTGGCTGCCAGGCACACGAAAACTTCCCCATTCATCATCACTACTTTCCATTTCACAGCACATTGTAATAAAAAGCAACCCTATCTTTGCAATTGTTAGATTCCTACTTAGTACAATAGGTAGTATTATTAATAATAAAAGCCATGCATTAAAGGTATTATTTTATTGTTCTCCAGAGAGAAATAGGAGATGATTTCCTTTTGTTGGGTTCCATCCCTCTGGTTTAGAATAAGCCATCACTGGCAGGGTCAAAAATACGATCAACTTCATCATGGTGGTACATTAAAAAAAAAAAAAAAAAAAGGTAGTAGCAAAATGCGGCAAAAAACAAATGATAATTAAAGTAATCTAAGACTATAAAGCTGGGCAGTAAAACAGACTTGGACGTTAGAATTCTAACTTACTTTGTGGTCTGAGTTTTTTGGCGGATTGGGTTTTTTTAATAGACAAAATTGCTGGTGATAGCAGCATTGAGTCTGAATCACACCATCTTCCAAGATCTAATCAAGATCAACACTGTCTTGATCAATACAGTTGTAAAATAAGATTTCAGAAAAAAAGTACAACAAAGCCATTAAAGAAATCTCAGAAGGCAGCAAAACCATTTCTTGTAGCTGTAAGTGAAAAATGAAGTTTATTTATTTCACATTACAATCAAATAGTAATGTGTCTTGATGCATATGTGCACACATGCATCATCATTATTTGCTTTATTCTCATTGATTTTTCCTTCCATGGGCCAGCTCTCCAGAACCACTATGCACCAGCATCACTGATGTCAATGGGGAAAGAGGCTTCTTATCACTTCTGACAAATTATTCCTTTAAAGTTCAGACACTTCTATCACCCACAGAAACGAAATACGCATTAGAGTTATGAGAAATCAACCTGATCTTCAGCAACTCAAAAGAGCAACCCATGAAATCTAAACAGTTGAACTGCTGCTGCATATAATCACATAAGCAATGAAACTACCATGTTATAACTGTCCCAGATGGGTACAGCATTTCCTGAAAACTAATTCCCAGCAAGTCCCAGGAGCCAGCTTACAGACAGATACCCATTTTGTCTTTCCAAGTGGAAAGGTCACCAGAACAAATACGATCAGGAAGTAATGGCGAGGCAGTTCTGCTGATCTATTTCGAGCACCATGACAAAGAAAACTAATTTAGTGTTATAATTAGAAACATGGAGAGGAAAAAGCTCATTTTGGAGAAGTGCTGCTGCTGGAACGTTGTTAGCATTGGTGCTGATGGAGCTAATCAGCTCAGAGAGGTGGAAGAGTAAAACCAAGGTATACGTTTAGCATCTTCATGCAATCCAGGTCTGACACTGCGATTGTCTGCAGTTGGGAATATGTGCAAGGTTTAAAGGTGACCTTACAGGGAGTTTTTAAAGAAGTAGACTAAACAGGGCTTCAGGATTTTTTTGCAGAGCTTGAAAATCAAAACCACGTCACAATCTTTTTTTTTTTTTTTCATATTTGATGACTACTTTTCAAAGACTATCAGCTATTTGTGTGTGGTTCATATTTTTAAATGTATTTCGTGTTACTTATTAACAGCTGCAAGAATAAGGCTTTTTCAACTTCTCCTAATTCTGACAAGACCCATTTAACTTCTTGCAAATGGAAATATGACATGAATGAGCTGAAGTACACTGGAAGGACTTTCAAACCTGTGACAGATCTCTTTTCATTGTCTTCTCAAGAGGTACATTTGAATGTTCACCAGGGGGAAAAAAAAAGAAAGAAAAAAAAAAAAAAGAAGAAAAAACCTGTCAACGCTAACAGAAGTTTTCAATTTAAAGGAGATATAGATTGCAGGTTAGTTACACAAATCCTATTGTGTACCTCAATATGGCCAATTTGCCTTTCATTTTCTTGGAAGTCAAAGCTATCTTTTTCTTGCTCTCACCCTAGTGACATTTCAGTGCCCCTCAGCTGTCTTAGTGCTGTTGTTTGTAAAGCTGTGCTGTAAGAAGGATCAACACAGTGAGCCAAGTTAGGAGTAATTATCCAAGAAGAAATAAGAAAAAAAAGCAGTGTAGCTGCATAGTGAGACAGAACTGGGTGATGAAGGATGTATACTTAGGGAAGATGACGGGAAAGAGAACAGCAGGAGTGAAGAAAGCGAGCAAGGAGATGGGCTATAGTGGACACAAAGAAAAGATGCATCTTCATTCATGCCGTGCTGTCTTCCCTCAGTATTTCATTGCCAGATTTCATATTGACTTTCCTGGCCTACTGATGTTAATCTTTTGAGGTAGTTAACTTGAAGGGAAAAGACAAAAGCACAGCAATGTTGGGATTCCATCTCTCAGGGTACACAGAGAAAAGGGAAGTAGAGCACTAGGATGGAAAATGAGGTCCTAACGCGAGCTGGTTAACACGAGCAAGGGTGTTGCAAGTCTGGTGTCCTACCACAGTGATTTGAAGTGCTTTTCCACTGCCCATGGCTCCATACCTTCGTAAGTTCCTACTTCCAGAAGGGTCCCACTTCGCTCCAACTCCAGAAACTCTTCCACAGTCAGGAAGTTATAGTCCACACCAGGCACTTCTCCTTCTCTTGGAGGGCGGGTTGTGCCTGAAAGGAAAAATTAGCACGTTAATATAGTTGGGTTTTTATCAAGGGTTAAAAGAGACAATAAAAAATGATCATAAAGATCTGACAGTATCTGTAAAATACAATTTGGTGAGCTACACAGAGAGCAGCGGCAAGAGTTCAGCTAGAAATTTCAAGTCCACGTAAAAACAAAACATAGATCACAGGTTGAGCTGGCGGTACCAGTTGTTCCACCCAAAACCAATGTTTTTTTATATTCCCAGAAAGACTCCCTGGCAAAGAAATCTCTTATATCGCATGCAGAAACACAGCTGGAGGAGTTTGGTATCTGGGAATATGCCAGCAATTACCTTCCTGCCATTAGCACAGTCTCTCATACTTCGGCACTAGGATGGAAAATGAGGTCCTAACGCGAGCTGGTTAACACGAGCAAGGGTGTTGCAAGTCTGGTGTCCTACCACAGTGATTTGAAGTGCTTTTCCACTGCCCATGGCTCCATACCTTCGTAAGTTCCTACTTCCAGAAGGGTCCCACTTCGCTCCAACTCCAGAAACTCTTCCACAGTCAGGAAGTTATAGTCCACACCAGGCACTTCTCCTTCTCTTGGAGGGCGGGTTGTGCCTGAAAGGAAAAATTAGCACGTTAATATAGTTGGGTTTTTATCAAGGGTTAAAAGAGACAATAAAAAATGATCATAAAGATCTGACAGTATCTGTAAAATACAATTTGGTGAGCTACACAGAGAGCAGCGGCAAGAGTTCAGCTAGAAATTTCAAGTCCACGTAAAAACAAAACATAGATCACAGGTTGAGCTGGCGGTACCAGTTGTTCCACCCAAAACCAATGTTTTTTTATATTCCCAGAAAGACTCCCTGGCAAAGAAATCTCTTATATCGCATGCAGAAACACAGCTGGAGGAGTTTGGTATCTGGGAATATGCCAGCAATTACCTTCCTGCCATTAGCACAGTCTCTCATACTTCGACTTCACTTGAATTGCAATCTGTATTCGCAGATAAGGCAACTTCTTTCTAGCTTCCATTATTTCTGCATATCTCACTTTATCTCACCAAATATTATTTCACATCATAAAGATCTTTTCCCCCTTGTTTGTTCTCTATCTCTATTTGTATTTTATCTCTATTTATGCTATTATTTTTTACTCAGCATTAAAAAGTACCGTGAGACAGTTTGATGCACTGTTCACACATGCTCACTAAAGAGACAACCTGCAAACTCTTCTCACAGAAGTTCACCTATAAGCTCATTCCAGTTCAAGAAATACTTTTTTTGAATAATAATTCACACTGAATCTCTCTCTAGCACTCGACAATTTAAACAGTACCCATGGAGAGCAGGGCTCTGATCATGGCTACTCTGCCAGCTCTGAAACTCTTCTCCCTTCTGACCAATTTGCAGCCCTTTGAAGCATGGTGTAAGATGAGTCATTTCATGACTTTTTGCTGAGATGGCTTGGGCCACTGCATTTTAGGTCACTGAGCACAGCTTAATTGATTAGGATCAATTTCTGTTCAATAGCCTTTATTTTCCATGACTCCGGAGGCTAGGAGATGGCTGGATTTTGTAGATCTGAGATTAAATATAAATGACAGATTTACAGATGGTACAGGAAACTGAACTTTAGAAGAAAGAGCAGCATTAGAGAGTTGGAGGTGTCCGAGTGCTGTGGCCGCAACCGATCTGCTGGCTTCTAATAACTTTAGAGATGTGGAAACCATACCTAACATTTAATGAAGCATGGTTTCTCACTTCTGTGGGACTCTTCCCAACCCTGGGCAGTGCCTTCTCAGCGCATACAATTTCTTAAACCCTCTGTAAAAGGACTGAAAAAAAGTATAAAGAAGCTGAGCTTCTGGAAACTGATTGGGAAGATTCCAGCTCTCAGAAGTTGAAAGAGCATAAATTTACCATGCCTGCATCTGGCAAATGTTTTCCTCAAGTGCCAGGGAAGCGGAAAGTCTGCTTATGCCCTATTCATCTGAGAGACTGTTCAAGAGGTCAGTCTTGACAGAGTGACACCCTTGAAAGACTGTCACTAGATTAATTTCCTTGATATATATCCACTTTCTCTAACATCCTCCATTTCTTGTTTCAAAATAGAAACTTTCTCTCTTTTCTTATTACTTACCATTACCCATCAGATTGTCTATAATTCCTGTGATTTTCTATCATTCCTTCTCTTGGAACTGTGTGAATGTGTGAAGGTAGGAGGAGGAAAAGTAAAAAAAAAAAAAAAAAAAAAAAAAAAAGATACGGAAATTATGATGGATATCTTCACCCTACTAGCAGAATTACTCTTTCCTATTTGAAAGGATTCAGTTTTGCATTCTTTGTATACCTGAATCCTTACAGTAAGACTGCAATGATTTTTACCAAGTGGTTTGTAACACAGGACAGACATCTTCCACAGACCTAGACCAGAGAAATACTGAAACTGCACCACATGCCTCTCTCTGCCCGAGCGCCTGCGTTTCCATTTAAAGGCAGGCAGCGAAGCTGAGTGGGCAATGCCCACCCTGGCGTGCAAGGGGCATGCATGCACCCAGGATGAAGGGGCACGACTTGGATGCAGCACCTCCTCCCTGAGCACCAACATCGCTGTGGATGTTCAGGCTGTGAGGACCCTCACGAGGGCTTCGTAGCTCTTGGCCCCTGCCAGGTTCCCCTAAACCAGGCCCACCGGAGGTAAGGAGGAAGAATGAAAAGCTCCAGCAATGAGTATGTCCAAGGATGCGCTGGAGCTGTCCCACGCCTGGAGAGCAATGAAAGCGAGAATTAAGACCCTGGAGCGCTCCTCGTCCAATGCATCAGTCAAACGTCATCCTGAGCCGTGCAGCACGCGAGCCGAATGACAAAGATCAGGACGTACTTTTTCCCAGTACCTGACAACACACATGAGACACAAAGATCAGGGAAGTTCAGGATTCATTTTACTTTATCTTCTAAAGCCGCCTTCTTTTCTTTATCTGTATCTTCCCACAGAGAGTATTTATTAATCACTTTTTTTTTTCCCTTCTGAATTTTTATAGCAGTCAAATTGCAGTCAGCAGTTTACTAGTGCTGGTTGCCTATTTGACATGACAATTATATCTGCCATAATTCCTCTGAGCCATTTTAATGGATCTATTTGTTTCATCTCTGTGTTCTTAATTTCCTGAATATGTTCAAGTCGAAAAATCGCAGATGTGCTTGCTATCAGCGTGATTGCCCGCAACACACGCTGAATGCATTAGAAACGCCGAGTCGCCGCGTAAAAGAAAAACATTACATCATGGAGATAACATTTGTCACCTCTTGTCGGTCTTCAGCAACAAACAGAGGGAAAATAAAAACTACACTGGTTAGGATATCTTATCTGGGCGAAGGCGAAAAACTCAACAACTTTCCATGTTGCTGTCTCGAGCAAAGATTGCTTGCAGATGCTCGGGCTGTTATCCTGCTTCACATCTGAGCAAGTGTTACTGAATGCAATTCAGAAAGGCAGGGGGAAGGGAAAACCCGCCTCCGTTTTTCTTGTAGCAGAATGACAGGCTGCCGGCTGGACACACGCCTGGCAGATGGCATTTCAAAGAGTTTTCATGAACCATCTGGGATGTGTACAATGATTACAAACCACACTTACAACAAAGCCAGAAGGGTTGCTTCACAAGGGGGGTGGGGGGAGAGGACGGGCGCAAAGAAAGGGGGAAAGAGAAAGAAAGCCAAGAGGCGCATAAGCAAACTCGATGACTTTTGTCAGTCACAGGATGCTAAGAATAACCAGCACCTTCCACCCTGAGCCCTTCCATGGCCTGAAACAACTGCTCGACTACTGTGCAGCATGCATGTGCACAGCCCAACGCCATCGCAGGCCGCAAGCTACCACTGGAACTTTCTGCTGATAAACTCCAAATTGTAATTAAGTCTCCCATCATTAATGTGACTTAATTATGTATAAAGCATAGCCTGTGTGTACTCCCTCCCTCCCCCTTTAAAGTGCATTTCAGCATCCTTCCCACAGGATGGTCATCACTGAGGGAGAGGGCGATGGAGATGACTACACTATATCAGAGCTAATAGCAGATCAGACCACTGCTAATGGCAGAATTAATTGAGCACAATGAGTGCTGTAGATGGCCCAAACAGGATTTAAGATACTCCACTAGAAAAGGCAAGCCAATATTTAAATACGTTAACCTGCCTGCCATGTTTGCACTGAAATATTAAGTGGCATCAAATCTTATTGCCATTAGGTAGCAATTTAGCTAATTAATTTGAGCTATGTCCCACTGCGTGACTGGCTCAGAATTGCTAATGCTACAACAAAAAAGGAACTGGAGGAGCAACCAAGTGGTTGCCGACTCCTCCTGCGCATTTAATGGTTCATAAACTTCCGCTCTTTTTTGGCTAGAATGTCCCACAACGTATACAAGTAGTTAGTGACATTAAATTCACAGGGGAATTGCTCAAATCTTCTGCAACCACAGCAGGCTTAAGAAAATAAATAAATAAAAATAAGGCTACTAGTTAGTATTGCAGTTTTTACCTTCTCTCTTGGTCTGGGCAAGTAAAACTACATATAACATGGGTGGCTCAGATGCTAGGTGAGACGCGTGCCCACCTGTTGGTGTGGTTATCCCACCCAAGCTAGCTGCTTCCTAGTTTATTCACGCACCGCTACTGCTTGGGCCACAGAAGAGGGATCTCGTCCTGGGCTTGAAGACTCCACCTGAGAAATTGCTTACAGACACAGGTGAGTTTTCCCATGCAGAGCCCAGTGCTCTACTTAAGCTAACTCAATTAAAGCTTGTCATTCACGCCTAGAATAACTGGACTGTGGCTCAGACGTACTGATGACTATCAACTATTATTCTGAATAATTGAAGTGCCCATTTTAAACACAAATAGCTGCTGCTGTTGTGTTGCCTATCAACCATGCTGACAATTACCCAACATGAGCCTCAATTATAGTATGGCCAGATTGTTAATATGTGATTCAGGGGCTGTTTAGCTCCTTATCAATCTACCAAGGCCTCGTGTTAAGCTGTTAATAGCCACTGATGCCCTGCTGCTAAATTAATCAGAATCTTTGCTTATTGTAAAGACTTCAAAGGGGCTGTAGTCACTTCAATTATTTTCTTGTTAAAACAAAACCAAAAACAGTTCTTGAGCAGTAATTCTATTACTATGCACCAAAACAGCCCCTAGCAAGTAATTTAGAAGTTGACTTCTCAAGTGCAGAGCACCTACATTGCCCATTTGCAAAGCAATGGCTTCTGCAAACTCCTTATCCCATTCCACTGGTTGGCAATGATAATCTGGTGAGCTACCAAAATATAGCTCATCAAACCACAAGTCATTTGCTTCTCATCTTCACCGACCAGCTTCTCTTAAAATGACAGATAATGCGGGACTAATGATATAGTTGCTACAACCGTATTTTATACAAACTCAAGTCACTGGTGGTTACCCCCAGGTGAATGGAACTGTAGTAAATAAGGTTTTAACGTGAAGTGTACAGGGATGCTACTGACTCATGAAGCTGCAATGCCAAGTGTTGTTGAGGGCGTTTGCTGAGAAGGTCCTCGCGGGCGGGTTAGAAGGAAGAATGCTGTCCCTGCC